TACAAGCCCCAACTCGCCCCCCTATGAACCTGTGGGGGTTATCCCAGCCCCCACTGGAGGTATTTGATGCCATGCTGTCAAGCAACCAAGCTTACCTAGCTCCTGAAGTCCTGCGCCTGGACATCTAAATGACGGCCTCGTGACCAATGACGGGCTTGAGGGCGCTAATTGTCTACAGGCAGCATGCACAGCACGGGTGTTTGTTGTCCACAGCTCCTACAACTGGACTATTTTTTTTTTACAATCTTTATTTTGTGCATAAGATGTTGTGTTCTACCCTGTGGTCTAGTCACCCAAGTTCTTCGATCATTAAAATATTATTGGGATTCTATCATAAATTGCTAGGCTGTGGTGTTGGTTTGTATGTAACTGAAAGATGCGTCGGGCTACAGTGGGCCATGTGTGTTACCAGGCTACTGGTCAGCACTAATCATGATATGGGCATTAGGTTGAGGGACAACTGTGTCCTGGAAGGGTGGGTGGGTGGGTGGGTGGGTGTCCCTTTAGTCTTTTAAATGTAGAACACTAAAAGACTCTTGGGCATAATAAAAAAAATGATATTTCTGGCAACTAATTCATAATGTTTTCTAATTACAAATATCATTCAGTTTCTATGTCTCTTCCCTGCAATATGCAGCTGTAATTTACTTTGTTTTGTGTTTTTTCTCTCGTTGATAACCCTCACACTATCGCCAAAAGTTTATATGTTCAGTACCTTCTGACATATCTACCATCTTGTTATCTGGAACAAATCTTACACCTCCATTTCCCTCCAAGTTAAAAAAAATACTTATGTGACTTAATTAATTTAGTGTGTTGTTAATTATTTTTAATAATATTCATAAAGTACCAACAATTTTCACAGCACTATACAATGGGTGGATTAACAGTATGTGTAACAATGTTTTGTTTTTTTGTCATGATAGATACACTTTAACATACAGGAAATGTAAATTGTTTTGGTAATAAAAACTAATATAACAAAATCATTTCACACAATATAATAGTTCTTATGTAATGGTTTATTGTGTTTGGGATATACCTACGTTTGGGCTTTGAAACACATTCTTGAGGATAACTTTGGCCCCTATGGTTCCAGATTTGTACTAGTACCATAGTACCCAGTTAAAATCAGGTTCTGAACAATCATTTTAAAGCAGGAAAGCCATGATTCCATTCTATTCTGATCAGTTTGTTAATTGATACTACACTAAGGCCATGAACTATATAAGCACAATTTGAACAGAGCCTTGGGTCTATATCTAATGCTGTCCCTGTAATAATCAGATATAACCCTTGAAGACAGCTTTCTCCAGAGCATCTTCTTTATTCATGTACTGAACATGGGATGGGTAGTTGGTGCAGTCATAGCGACCACAGAATCTGACGTATTCTAAAAAGTCTGGAATGCCAGGGTAAACAACATTGTCAGCCAGTAATACAGAGCCTGTTCTCAGCAAACAGCATTCCTGTGTATAGAGAAAAGAGGAAGAAACAGAAGTAATGGATGGAGAGACATCTTTCATTTGACCCTTCCCATTAGATACCTTGTAATATTTATATTTTGTCTGTTTCACCGTATACGTAACCAGATCATATTTCTAAGCCAGTTGAACAGCATTATGTTGACAGAAACATAACAGAGATCTATGAAGATGCATTTTGAGCTTTTGCAGGTGTGTGTACATGTATGCTAAACATGTATTGATAACATCATGGCAAGTTTATTTCAGGAAATCCATCGAGCTAGGTTCAGTAGCCAATAAATGTGAAGATTACCATTTATATCTCAAATGTGAGTTTTATATTATATGCAAAAAAAAAATAGGGGCTACTTTTCTTTATGTTGCATTCAACAAAGGGCAGAGTTTTCGTAGTATGTCATTTTCATGCACAACAAGATCTGTGGTGGATGCTATAATCTAATGAGAGATTCCACCAACTCCTGCCCCCTGGCTCTGCTTCTTGCCTTCACTACTTCTGACAAAGACCTGGAAGCTCTCTGCCTGAGCCTCATTTCCTGATTCCAATCAGCTGATACTCTCAGCCAGTGGGCTAGCCCTGTGCTTCAGGGCTTAGCTCGAGAGAGCAAATGCAGCTTCCGATTCTCCAACTGAAGTAATAAAGGCAGGGACATAGTCAAACATTTCCAACAAAGAGGGGCAAAGCACTCCTGGCACTATAATCACTACAACTTGCTCTATTGGTTATGGTGTTTGGATATAGGCAACATTACAATATAAAAAGCATTTAACACATTTTATTGGTTGTGGATTTACTCTAAGAACCTGGTAATCCTAGTGATCTAGTGTTGTGCCTCCAGCCACTATCGTTTTGTTGTCTACTTTTAGTAGTTACATGTCATGTTCTTTGTCAGTTTTGATTAATGAAAACAGATCTCACCTCCAATAGTTTGGTATCTACTATATATCTGTCCTTCCAATGATCCAGAAACACAAAATCCAGAGTGTCTACTTGGTATTTTTCTTTCAGATTAGGGATGATATCTGCAGATGAACCTTCTAGAACTTGCACCTAAAAGTAAAATGTTCTATTTCAAACTCTGTATAACATCCACTCAGGAAATTGCCTTAGCAGAATGCATCAAAGGGCTAAAAGGGAAGCGAAGGAGATCACAGAGGGAGAAATTAAAACGATTTTATAAAAAGTGAAAGAGTGCAGAAAAGATTGAAGGTTAAAAAAGGTGTTTGCAACTGCAATTAAACACTTGAATATTTATAATGAAATACTAATCAAAGGCTTTAAGAAAAAAAAAGTCTGCATAATTAATTTAGTGCTTGTATTATCCATTCAACTTCAAATGGTAGATGCCAATGATGGAAGACATTCAGAAGACAACTTGAGTTTTCACAAAATGATTAAAAGTGGGTGGAATAACCCTAAAGAGTCCCAGGTGCAGCCAACCCATTTAGTAACTGTAATATTATGTTCACTGTTATTATGGATGGATACCCTTCCCTTTTTTTTCAAGTTCCCCTTCCCTTTCCTTCCCCAAATAGTATGTTTTCCTATTCATTATTTTTGTAGTAAAACTTTAATAAAAACAATTTGAAAAGAAATTGCACCTGGGCTTAAATTAACAATTTAACAGACTCAAATTACAGAAACAAATCAGTCTCCTGGCTGTTTCTGTAACATTATTAGTAAGGGGGTTTGCTCTCTGACACTATGGACTCCATTACAAGGGAAATTAAAAGCCTAAGTCCCAACATAAGTAGGTTTGAAAGCAGGACAGGAGAGGCTGTGACCACAAATAGTCTTCTCAACCTGGCTTGCATGGGCACTGAGATGATATGTAACTTTACTACTCAGCCTAGCAGGCTTGTGTGTGCTCCAGGGAAAATTCGGCCATGAGCTGCAATACCGGAAAATGGTTTTGGAAAAAAATGTTCTAGAAAGATTCTCCTGGTGCCCTTGTAAAATAAGATAAATACAACCTAAATAACTCAAGATGGCAAAATTTGTGCCTCAAGTATGTCCACCCAGATCCAGCAGTGTTAGGAGGTTTAAACTGATATGGGGGTGGGCAAGAAGTCATCCCCCGCTCATTCCCCTACTTCATGCTGTGTGATGGCGGCTAATGCAAACACCCAGTGAATTTACTCTATACACACAAGATAGGTGTTGTGTAAAGTAAGAATGAGGGTGGAAGTGTGTTAGCTTGCCCACTCCTATAAAAAAAATCATGTAGCGTGCCAGATGTTTACCCAGTCCCTCCTGCACTAATAGCCCATAATCACATCAACACATTCTGAGCTAATCTTTTAAGAGGCACTGTCAGTACTTTTGAAGTGACATCATGAAATAAATCATATAAAATTAAATCTAACTTCTATTACAACCCAGGGCACACATAGCAACAGAGGAGGGGAAACATGTTTCTTCCTCCATTTAATATGTTCATCCTGACCACTGATTGGTTTTGCCTTTTAACAACAGTTAAAGGACCACTATAGTGCCAGGAAAACATACTCGTTTTCCTGGCACTATAGTGCCCTGAGGGTGCCCCCACCCTCAGGGTCCCACTCCCGTCCGGCTTTGGAAGGGGGAAAGGGGTAAAAACTTACCTTTTTCCAGCGCTGGGCGGGGAGCTCTCCTCCTCCGATCCTCCTCCTCTCCTCCCCGTCGGCTGAATGCACACGCGTGGCAGAAGCTGCGCGCGCATTCAGCCGGTCGCATAGGAAAGCATTATCAATGCTTTCCTATGGACGCTTGCATGCTTTCACTGTGATTTTCACAGTGAGAATCACGCAAGCGCCTCTAGCGGCTGTCAATGAGACAGCCTCTAGAGGCTTTGGGGGAAGGCTTAACCCATTCATAAACATAGCAGTTTCTCTGACATTAAGCTGAAGTGGGCTGGGTGCCTAGAGTGGTCCTTTAAGGGGAAACCAAGATGGAGGATCTCATGATAAAGTAAATACAACACTGTGGATTTGAATACATTTTTGAACTTTTCACAACTCACCCAATAAGTTTTTGTTCAATATAAGTAGTAAGTTAACATAGACGTAAATATTCTGGGAAGCAACCGTTACCCTTTCAAAGTTCACACTCAATTACCTCTACTGAATACTCCTGTGGCAAATTCAGGTCTAGTTTTTGGATTTTGCAATTTGGAGGCACATTCTGAAATTGAGTCGATAATCCCATATTATTCTTACTTTCCCATTAAGGTTTCAGGCCTTTAATAAACATTTCTCATCAGGCATGTGTCTGCTTATGTGACTGGAGACCCTGCAGTGGGCACCTGACACTTCAGTTCACTAATTAGCAGCCAGCATGCCTGAAGCCCTGCGCTACAGTTACTAGCTCCAGATATCTGTGCACGACACACAAAATGATGACACTATTAGTCTTTTAGTAACATAATTCCCTACAAGGGAATATTTAACTAATTGGCAGTTGGTACGAAGAAAACATCCAGTTTTAATGTGTAATTAAGTTTGGCAGACAGTATATATTAGTCCATTTACATTGTTACTCTGACAAACCGTCTTATTGGAAGCAATCCCATTCAAGCAGACAGAGGATGCTAATCCAATCAGACACTTACTGAGCTTCAGTGAATATGTAACTTACATACACTTAGTGATTTCCTAAAAACAAACAGATGTATATACCGTGTTCTGAACTCCAGCAAATTCAATTATCTGCTTGGCTACAGCTGCATTATCTGGGTTCATTTCGATGGTCAGTAAGCGAGCTCCAGGCTTAAGTAGCTTGGCTATTCGGACAGCAGAATATCCACAGTATGTGCCCAGCTCTAGGGCTATAGATGGTGCTCTCTCTTCCACTACCTTGTCAAGGATC